TCGTGACGAGAAGGCGGCGGCTAATGAGTGTGAGGAGACAGCTTCTAAGTGAGGAGGCGGCTTCTGAGCAAGAGGGGGGTAGCTTCAGGGTGGAAAGAGACAGGTTCTGAGAGGGGGAGGTGGCTGCTGAGCGGGGGGCGGCAGCATGGGACAAGCGAGCGCCGCCGAGAATCCTGCGGAGCGCTGCAGCGTACCGGCGGGGCGGGTTCGGAAGCTTCAAAATGCCTTTTGCTTGTCTCCGCCCGTGTAGCATGAACCCCCATTGTTTAATGCAGACCCATCCGAGCGCAGGAGAGACAACATCCGAGGTTTTTCAGGGTTGTTATGGATAACATCGCGAGGAGCTAAGGCCTAAGTGCCCAGCAGGTGACTGCGCCGCGCGCTCGCAACGTCTTGGTAGCCCGAAGCTTGCTTGGGTTCAGACGAGCAGCAGCGGCTGGGCCCAGGCCTCGTGAGCGCGTTCTAGGTGTTCCCCGGCCGAGCACAGCAAATTGACAGCATTAGCCTTGCGAGGGTACATCATAGACCACGTGTGGCTGTTTTTTTTGCTGACCTTATATGACGCAATGCAGGTTGGTCGCAATGCGGGCCGGGTAGTCAATGCGTGGGTGACCCTGTTTGCGGTGCTAATCCACACCTAGGGCCGACCGGTTGCGTAAATAATCACTAATCATGGACATCATGGCACGTCGGATGTCCCGCGCTGACTCACCCAAGAATGTTGTTTTACGGCGGCCGCTACACTGCCCATATTCAAGAAGTCGGGTACAACAGCTTAGCTGCTCCGTTGATGATGATGTAAAGGTTGTTACGTTTGTTACGGGGTTGTTCTTTGTGCTTTGTTATTCACGTGTTAATTGTTATGTAACCAATTATTATGGCATGAGGCGGGTGGGGTTGTACTATGTGAGGTACGGGTCGGATTAACACTAGGCGTGTGCGCCGAGACGTTTTCATTGTTGGATGTAAACCCTGAAGGAATACAACTTCAGCGCCAGCAAGTTGATATGGTCACTTACGATAAGCACACCGGAATCATCCTTCCCGACATGAGACGCGCCACATGTTCAAGCAACATCCCGCTGGCGATGCTGAGGGCTTAACAGACTAAGTGCCCCGGACAACTAATGTGGTCAGTCACGTGTCTCGCATTTCGCTCCAGGAAAGTGCGGCAGGCTACTATGCATATGATGCTGTATACCATCACCACTCTCCACCGCTCCATCGCAGACGACAACAGAACTGTTGCAGTGATTTGAAGATGGCAAATAATAGTTCAACACGGTGGGGAAGAGCATGACCAGCAGCGACGGTCAGGACGAGCAGGGACCATCGCAGGTGACGCCGGTACAATGGTCTGTTAGCCCACGGTGGGTGACGTCAGTACAGCGGCTCATCAGTCCACGGTGAGTGACGTCAGTACGGCGGCCCGTTAGTCCACGGCGGGTGACGCCAGTACAGCGGCCCGTCAGCCCACGGTGGGTGACGTCAGTACAGCGGCCCGTCAGCCCACGGCGGGTGACGTCAGTACGGCGGCCCGTCAGGCCACGGTGGGTGACGTCAGTACGGCGGCCCGTTAGCCCACGGTGAGTGACGTCAGTACGGCGGCCCGTTAGCCCACGGTGGGTGACGTCAGTACGGCGGCCCGTTAGCCCACGGTGAGTGACGTCAGTACGGCGGCCCGTTAGCCCACGGCGGGTGACGTCAGTACAGCGGCCCGTCAGCCCACGGCGGGTGACGTCAGTACGGCGGCCCGTTAGCCCACGGCGGGTGACGTCAGTACGGCGGTCCCGTTAGCCCACGGCGGGTGACGTTAGTACAGCGGCCCGTCGACCCACGGCTGAGCCTGCAGCGTTCGGCCGTGTGCCGTGGGCACCGGAGTGAATCGGCCGCATCGCTCCCGATTAGCATGAACATGTTTGTCATGTCTAACCCGAAAAGCTCATAATTAGTCAGCCCAGGCCTCATCAGCTGCGATTGGTTGCCAATTCCAGCAGGCTCGACAGCGCTTCGCCAGCAATGTGCCCTGCTGTGTATCTATGAGTACCACGGGTGTAAACATAGCTGGAAATAATGAATACACCTTGGTGGAGATGTATGAGAAGACATCAGTAATATTTGACAGAGATCACGGTGATGTACGAGTATCGCTCGCAAAACAGGCGACACATCAATTGCCATCCTAAATGCACATCAAAGTTGTGGTTGACAGACTACCGGTAACTGATTCAACATATCAGGGGCATGGAACGCAGCAACTAAGCTATTCGGTAGGCACGCAATACATAACTTTACACTACAATGCGATTAGCATACGCCCACTGTTCATTGACCATGTCACGTATTTAGCTTAATGTTCTTGTCACTCTGTGGAAGTCAGTGGACGACAAAACAGCCCCGCCAACACTTGCCAAACTTGAAAAATGCAAGAATACAAGAACTTAAGCTCATCAGTTGCAATGTGGATCGGTTACTGTACAGAAGCCATAATGCCGGGATCATCAAGCCTCATCCACTAATTATTGTATATGTGAGCTGAGTGACGACAATTTCCAGCGGTCATTTGCTCATAAAACACAGTTCATGATACATACACTTGAAAATACTACTGCGCCACGCCACGGTGGTAGCGGTGATGGGGGACTTCGGACCAAGGTATCAAGGCGTTTGGGTGTGCGCATGGCCATTTGTGTTGCACCAATGGTTACAGCACCTGAGTGGTTTGTCACATATTTTCTGTTTCCCGTTCATGGTAGGTGAGCTTCTGGGGCGCACAAAGGTAGACTTAAGGGGATAAAGCGCTCGTTGTCGAGGCCACGCTGCTCCGAGCTTCACCCGTGTTGGGTGTAGATACCCCAGGTAACTGTTGCTGGAACAAAGTCAATGGAAGCCGCATAGTCTGAGTTGGATGGGTCGGCGGAACAGGTCTTAAATCTGAAATCAGCATCTCGCTTGTCCCTCGGGTAATGTGATGACCCGAATTTAAGGGCTGCTTTATCAGCCTAGCATATATCGGACAGCACAATTTTCGTTACCTGACCACAAACGAAAATACAGTGCCATGTAAAACACACTTCGAAGAGAGCATTACCACATCGCGGTACCGCGGGCGATCTCTGCGCCCATCCTCACCTCCGCACGGCCGCAGGACGACACCGGGCCTGCAGCCTGCTAAAGCAGGCTGCTAGGGCAGGCTGCCCGGACTGCCGCCCCGCTGAGGCACGCCCTCCTCGCGCGCCGGCGGACCCTTCTCCAGCCCGGGCAGTGCCTCGTCGGCGCCGGCACGCTGCCACTCGAGCTCGTGCACGTTCTTCAGGTGCACGCGCAGCACCTGCTTGGTGGACAGCACGCGACCGCACAGGGAGCACGTGGTTTCTCCGCGGTGCATGTCCATGTGGCTGCAGAGCGACTCACGGTGCCGGAACACCTTTCCGCACAGATTGCAGGTGCGCTTGTCCAACGCGGCGTTCGGCGGTCCGAGCAAGCCGCCCCGGAATGCACCTGGGGAGCACACCGACACTGGCCAGGTCAATACCTGGAACATGTCTAGGGGAGCACGCTGACATTGGCTGGTAAGATTGTGGAGCACACCTGGAGAACGCACCAACAGCGGTCGGTAAGGACTTTCCTGGGAGCACAGATGCTGGCCGATCGGGAGCGCACCCGGGGAACAACGCTGGTACGGTCAGGATATGGAACATACCTGAGAGCCACACGAACACTGGCTGGATTAGAAGGCAGCGCACATGCGAGGAATACAGTCAGAGATAAGTGACGCCGGCCGGGTCGGAGTTGTGCTCTGTGGAGCAAAGCCGTGCCGTGTAAATTTGTGGAACGCATTTGCCTTATCACACCAGGTTATCGGTAGGAAAGATTTCGTAATGCGATGCCTTGATAGTTGCCATAAGTTTCTTTTCTCTTTTTTTCTAAAGATCTAGAGTAAAGTGGTCATTGGCACCACTTATCCCAACGCCAACTAGGGCTCAACAGCCAAAAATCATGCTCTAGCGATCATAACATTTTGTTGACCGGAAACCAATAAGGACCCCTTAAAATAAAGTGATGTTTTCTGTATACGTTCGTTCTCACCGAGGCACGCTCGCCTTCATGACATGCTAGTCCCCAATCCTTTCATAGCCTTCGCGCATTATTGGTATCGCTGGCGTGATGGATTGAAGAGAAGCTTCCCCGCGGTCTCATAAAGCGAGAGGAGTAAGACGAACAAACGCAGTTGGAAGCGTACGCAAAAAGGCGCACCATAATCGGCACGTTGAAGGTGTGAACGCAGAAGGCAGTGGTATCATATAAGCATTTAAGCATGTTAACAACTAGTTAGTGCTTATGGTGTCAAGGGGCGAGGCTAGCCATCAAAACACGCATGATTGCATTCATAGAAATCAGGGGATTATTCTTTATTCCCACCACCACTGAGCGAGTGTTTGCTCCCATTCACACACGACAAGAATATGGATATTCGTAGGCTGAAATGTTAAAATTCAAAGTGTGACTCAAAAGCCATGACTTTTACCGACTGCAATTGTGACGCCGGAGGTTGTATTCACAGAACTCATGAAATTATTTATTCTTTACACACGACACCACTGCGAAGTGTATATTCACATTCACACCCAACACGAAATGGAAATCCATATACTGGAATATCTAAATGCAAAGTGTTGCTCAAACGCCATGACAAAACCAGCCTTCGCCCTAACCCCGTCTGTGGAAGCGAACACAGCTATCCACAGACCCAACACCACATGTCCGGTGACGTCCGATGCCAGTTGCTTGCTGGGGACCAACTGCAACCCGTGAACCCGAGACAAATCTATCAGCAACGTCACCCCGACCCTAACCAAGGATGGTTCAGCTAGAGCCCCACACGCGGACACACAAGGCCCGTCAGCTCAATGCCGCCACCTCGGTGGGTGGAGGGGGGGGGGGGGAGGTGAAGAGGCCCTGACGCCACCGCCCGGACTCCGGGGCCTCAAGTCGCCGACCTACGACAGGTCCATGCCGGTGACGCTGGAGATGTAGCCGAGGAACTCGGTGACGCGCGCAAAGCCAGCCGGGTAGCCCAGCTCGCAGCCTGCGGAGGCGCCGTAGCTGACGATGCCCACCTCGAGGAAGGAGCCGTCGGCCTGCTCGATCTGCAGCGGTCCGCCCGAGTCACCGTTGCAGGAGCTGACGCCGCCCGTCGTGGAGATGCAGAGCTGCGTGCTCGGCGGTCGCCAGTAGCAAGCGCCGTTTGTTATGATGGGAACGGTGGCGTGGCGCAGATAGCTGCTGATGGAGCCGACCTGAATCGGAGTAGCGCCCCCAGCCGGACACCTGCGCCTGCTGGCCGGCGAAGCTCTGGTCGCCGTGCAGTGATTCGCGCGGCAGGCACACCGGCTGGATCGTGTCGCCAAACGTGACCGCGTTCGGCAGTCGGATCAGGCCCACGTCGTTCAGGATCCTGGACGCGCTGTAGCTGGGGTGGGTGTACATCACGGTAGACGGGATCGACACAAGCGGTTCGTTGACGAGCGTTCCACCCAGGCGCACATCGACGCTGGAGGCGCCCGACGTGCAATGTCCAGCCGTCAGCACCCATATGTCGGAGATAAGCGAGCCGCCGCAAAACCAGCAGCCGCCGGAGCTACAGAAGCGGAGCGCCGCCATCCACGGGTATTGCTCGATCTCGGCACGTTCGCCGCCCGTGATCTTGGCGCCGCTGGTTGGCACGCCGCACGTGGGGGTGCCGACGCTGCTACCCCCTTCGCCACCGCTCCCTTCGCCGCCGCCGCCCTCTCCACCGCTGACTGAGTACTCGCAGGTGAAGCCCGAGTACTGGCGGCGTGCGTTGGACCGGAAGTAGAGCCCCATCCGATTGCCCGTGGAGGTGACACTGAACGGCACGGCGAACTGCAGGTTGCCGCAGGCCACCAGCGTGGTCTCGGAATCGAATTGGCCGTCCATGCTGATGAGTAGGTAGTCTCTGAAGCGGTTGAAGAAACAGGACTGAGTGCGGAAGTCGGTGCAGGTGAGCGAGATGACGGCCCCGCGTCTTGCCGCCATGTTCAGAGTGCAGGCGGCGTTCGCCGGGTAGTTGGATGGGTAGGAGGGCGACGTAATCACGCCTGAACTATCAGTGATCTCCGTGACATCACAGATCACCGCCGTTTCGCGGTCCGTCGGCAGCAGCCCGGGCGGGGCCGGCACGAGCGGTGAGTTGGTGTTGCGCCCTGGGCTCTGGAGGAGAGGCGCACCCGGGTGGCGCCCCACCTCCCAGAACGACCCCACGTCCGCCGGGCGGCGGAGTACGTGGCCCGGCTGCAGTGTGGTCCAGTCATCGCTGTCGGCGAAGGCCACGCGCCAGACGGCCGCGGCCAGCAGCAGCGTCACAGGCGTCATGGCTCGGGGGAAGTCGCGGGGCTGGCTGGCGCGTCGGCGCAGCGCGGTCTTATACAGGGCAGCAGGGCACAGCTGCGGCGCGTCTAGCCCCGTCATCTTGGCCGCCGATGACGTGGCGGAGATACGCAACCGGTTGACACGGAGGAGCACGACGCATGCCGTGTTCTGACCCCGGCTGTGCGGGAGGCGCGGCGTCGGAGTTGCGACAGCCAGCCACTGACATATGGCACCAGCCTGCTCCGGTGGCGCGGCACCTTTGTCACCGGCGATTGCGGAACGTGATGTCCGGATTCGCGTCGCCGGTTATCAAAAGCGGGCTGCAACTCCACAGACTGCCAGCGATACAGTGATGACATGGCCCACCGCCGGCTGTGACTCAACTTACTTCCAGACATTCCCGTGCGCCAGCAATCTTGACACTCATTGTCTGCAATTTATGCTGTATATAGGGCATCACGGTATACATGAAACGTGTTTTGCTATTTAATGGCAGATCCAGTCGAATGCGCCTTACGAAAGCGAACCAGTACGCGGGCTCAGCACTCCACACATTTCAAATGGTAAAGACCGGCCATCACTTACATTTAACGATCAGCAGCATGAAATCATTGACTGCCGCCATTTCTCAGCGGTGGACTAAATAACGCCTACTGTGCCCCTCCTGGACTGGCACGCAAGCAGTTCACTGATATCCATACTTACGCCGCCGAGCCACACACATGTCTTCCTCAAATTTGTGTTATCAAGCAGTGCGCAATGTCTTTTATTTCATTCATTCAGTGTTGCATATCAGCGTGCAGCTAACGTGATGCTATTCAGATTTACCAAGCGCAGAAGTACAAATTTGTCGGTGAAGTTACGGTAACTTAAGCGTGGTGAGGAGCCAAAAAGGTGCCAACATGTTTCATGTTAAACGTGCTTATATATACATACATAAATAAATACATACATACATATATATATATATATATATATATATATATATATATATATTGTTATGTTGGCCGGGCTCGATTTAATCTCCAGTAGCCCAAAGGCGTTTAACCAAAATGGGGTATATTACTCACTGGAGCATATAGGCATGAAGTCATCCTGACTTCCTACATCGCTTAGGCCATGTTTGATACGAGTACAGGGCGGCTATATTGCCCGGGGGAGGTAGCAGTCCTCGGTAACAGCAACGGCCACTAAAGATGTGTCAACATTGTTATTCACAATGTTGACAAGGACACGCTGACGTGTACATCAACGACAGCGGAGGGTAGAAGAACCGGAGTCGAAGTCAAAGAGAACGGAGGGAGAGGAGCCAGCTACGTCGTGGATATCAACGAGAGCTGAGGGTAGAAGGACCGGGGTGGCAGTCAAAGGGAGCGGAGAGAAAGGAGCCAGCTACGTCGTGGACATCAACGAGAGCTGGCTCACCTTCCCCGGCGCCGCCCGGACCACCACTGACCCACCGCCGACCCCGACCCCAGGCGTGACCTACTCCCCGGCCTGTGATTGGCCGGGTCACGTGACCACGTGGCTTTGGGAACAGACGCGAAAATAAAAGGTCTCCTTACAAAAGAAAGGCAGCCGCTGTTGAGATTTGAACCCAACACAAAATGCAAACACGCTCACAACGCAGGCGCTCTAAGCCACTGTGCCACCAGAACGACGATCACGTTGGCAGGTCAGAAGGCAACTTATCACATACACAACAATACATATATATATATATATATATATATATATATATATGTATATATATACATATATATACATATTATATATATATATATACATATATATATATATATATATATATATATATATATATATATATATATATGGGAACTGACGTGGGGACGTAATTTAGCAACATGAGTTGGAAGGAAAAGTGAAATTGGGGGGGGGGGGGGGGCGAGCAGTGCAAATTGCCCAACATACTCCAAAATACGCAGGAAAGCGTAACGCCGGAATACATAAGCATTTCTCTGGGTCAGCGGGCTAAACAGCGTCACGGTCACTACGCCAGACCCACTGACCAGATAACTGGCCGGGGATCCTTACGAAGGCTGGCGGAGATCTGGCAGCAGAACCGAATAAAATGAGGCACAGTCCCAATATAGATGTCATTGGCCAAGTTCGGAAGCCAGGTAAAACACCTCATGTTATCCCGCCTGCCATCAACGAAGCATTTGTTAAGCTTTTTATTTAAACATTTATTGAAGACGTCGCCACTTGCACAGAGCGTGCACAGGACACCGAACTGTGGTAAGTTACTAACGACATGGATCGACGCAAATGCATCTGCATCTGCTTACATCTGAATGTCGAAAATGCTGAATTGTGTGCCTGACTTATGCAAGTGTGCATTCTATGAGGATCTCTTAAATGCATCAGGGCACAGGCAATCTAGTCCGTGGCAAACACCTAAAGCTCACATAATCTTTTAACGACCAAGTGGGATATCGACAGGGTTCCTGGCGGATCACATGGTTTATCGCCTGTTTCCCTAGTTGAGCCGCCGTGTCATAAGACTGGCCTCTAGTGCCTACAAATAATGGACTGCAACGCCGCTGGTTGAACGGCTCCGCTTGCCGGCAATCGTATTCGGAAGATCAAAACAGCCTTCTCGGGCGGTTTTGCGCAAACCGACCAAATCAATAACAAGTGCAAATCACTCACGCCCCCGCCCGACTTTGTTTGGAAGACTGCGTGGCGCACATCTTCGCGCAATTATTTGTGGAGCGCCAGTAACCGCACTGGACATATTAACACCCAGAAAAAGCCATAGCGTCAGCGAGGAATCGAACCCGGGTGTCCCGCGTGGAAGCAGCGCACGTCTCCAACTGAGCTTTTTGCCCGTTTCCCATCCTGCTGATATGGCACAAGCCAACATCATGCTCTACGCAGTTAATTCTCACATACGTAGATTCATTGGCACTCTCAGATTGAGAGCTATTTTAGTCTTGAATCAATACCAGCTCATGATGTGACCGACGACAGTGCCCACCTGCGCACGCTGGTTTCGAAATATTCTCTCGCAGGGTAAGAAGTCACAGTGGCTCTTGGCTTGAGCGCTGTTTTCAGTGGTGTATTGGGAGCACCGCTGGACAGCGCAAAACAAGTGTCTCAGGGCTAAGAAACACAATAGTTCATCTGACACATGCCACACCACACCACCGTAATGTGTGCAAAACAAACCTGAACACATCTGCGCTGAGCTGCACGATATCTTCGAAGGACAGCGTCCCTCTAATGCCCCGTCAAAGACAATCAGCAACCACAGACAGGCTGGAATCCACTGCTCATCTATTTATTGTCCTATTTCGACAAGACGTTCTAGCAGATATACCAAAATAGGTGTATTTTTCAACTTGTTTGCATGCATCAACGGAGAATAAGATCATGGCGTACACAATAGAACAGTTCTCATGCGTATGTAATGTTCCTAACAGCTAAAATGAACCACTGTTCTTGTCCTGCGGAGTTGATACAGACTACCTAAAACAGGCAATCGTTTTCAAAACCATTAAGATATTCGTAGCTCTAAGAGCCCGATGCTTCTCAAATTCTAACAATATATTTTGTGTTTGTGTCAAAACGGTCTAATGGTAGCTTGATCGGTTACACTGTCCCCATAGTTCACTCAGTTGCAGCCGTCTCCATGGCGCAATCGGTTACAGCTGTCCCCATAGCTCGATCAGATACAGCTGTCCCCATGGCTCAATCGTTTACAGCTGTCCCCACAGCTCAATCGGTTACAGCTGTCACCATAGCTTAATCGGTTACAGCTGCCCTCATATCTCAATCGGCTACAGCTGTCCCCATAGCTCAATCGGTTACAGCTGCCCCCATAGCTCAATCGGTTACAGCTGTCCCCATAGCTCAATCTATTACAGCGCCTGCATCCCCATCGGCGGGGAGGCATGCGCTGAGGGGTCAAGTCGCTACATGCGCTCGCTATTTCCCCGTTGTGAGTCGGTGGCGGCGTCCATTCGAGGTCAGGCGCGTCAGGGAACAGAGACAGCTGCGTCGAGCGGTGTGGTACGTGTAACTGTCACCAAAAAAATTGCCTTTCAACTGGCGTTTCAGGTCAAATACTGGGTTCAGGATCCGCACAACATGCGATGCTGAGCGTGGGCTCTGGTTCCGGGAATTCACAATGATAAAAGTTCCGAGTGAATTAATACAATCGCATACGAAGCAGTTTCGATCGAGTTATACACAATGCTTTTGCCTAACGCGAATGCAGAGCAAGACTGCGGCTGATTCCTATGCCAACAGCTTGGTAAATGGTCAAAAAAACACACAAACACTAAATGAGAAAAAAACAAAGCTTCACGTCAAAAAAGTACGAGATCCATGAAAAAACACAAAAAAACATTAAAACCAATAGCCTCCATTATCAAAACGAAACACCCGAGCCTCTGGAGCTACAAGCTTCGAGCACTGACTACACTGAACAAGGACGTTCTTGTGCTAAACGAGCACGAACGCAGTGCAAGAACACCAAATAAAACACGCAGATGAAAGCATCGGCGGCGTGTCATCGCCGCAGCCGCGCGGGCTTTCCACCTCGTGGACGACGGCAGGAACGGCCGCGGCGTCCGCCTCCCTGCCATCGCGCGACCCACCCCAGCTCGCGGCCGCCGCGCCCGCTTCATTCCACCACACGACCCGCCCCAG